CACAATTAGCAAACAACTAGGTGTATTAGAAGGATTTCTCAAATCCCACAGTCTTAAATAACCAAGTGAATTTCCAGCTACAATTTCTTGATGTCGTAAATGACATATACAAGTAAAGGAACACAAATCAGAACTTTCTGCAAAAGAAATGGACATTAATATTTATAAGTGCTTAATGTATAATTGCATACTTAACATTGCAACGTTTTTGACAACAGAAAAAAAGAAAGTGGCGATTGACAGACAATTGTTTTAATTGCTAATTTAGTTGTTCCATCGCTGGTGGTGACTTAATTTTATTCTATACGAATTTTATACAATTTTTGACATTGAAAATTTAACTAAATTCTTTTTTGTTGTTAGGCAATTGAGTGGTTTTGATAAAAAAAATTTAAGCATTGTTTTTTCAACACTTTATGTTTTAAAAATTGAGAACTTTTTGTTCTGTTTATATATATATATATATATAATTATCAAAACAGCCATTTCAAATTTTGTTTTGCAAGTAAAAGTTAAAGCTATGTTTTAGACAACCCAGTTCACAGGAAGAAAAAAAAAGAGAGTTATCAGAAGCACTTACCGACATTAGGATTTTTTACTGTTTTCACAGCAGTCAAGTTATTCTTCATTTTGGTTGAATCCCATTGCCACAATGTACCATCTATAGATGAGGTATAGAGGAAATCTGGATTAATTGGATGGAACAGCAGTTCTGACACAGCCGCCGTGTGAGCTTCCATGAGTGACATCGGCTTCTTCTCGTGTCTCATATCCCACATGCAAAGTGATCCATCCTCATATCCAGTGGCCAAAATATGAGGCTGAGTTGGATGTGTATTCAAGCAAGTTACAGTTTTCTGTTCCCGAGATCTGGAAGAGAACCACTTATATTTTTAGGGGTGTGACAAATAACAATTTGGCAAAATATTGAAGTTAAATACAGACTGATTAAATAATTTTTTAAAAAAGAAAAACAATTTATCTTTCAGTGTTTGACAGCACCATAAACCAATATTTTTTGAAGTAGGAAATACACATGAAACAAAATTGAAAATAATTATTATTAAAAATACATTATAATTTCAAAAATTAAAATGACAAATTAATTTTTTAAAAATTGAAACTCTGAATAAAGGTAAAAAAAACATAATGTCAAAAGAAATAACATAAAAAACATTTGGAACTAAAATGAAGTATCTTTTTCAATGTCAAAACACAGAGTGCAAGAGAGAAATAAAAAGCAGAAAAAATATCCTTACAAAGATAAAGTATTATCAATGAAGAATGTGTTCCGCAGTTAAATATAAAATAGACTTTTTTCCAATCATAATAGTTTATAAATTTTTGATTCTTATCAAACAATTAAAAAAAATTAACTCAAATAATTAAATTTTGAAAGCAAAAGAATTCAAAATATTTTCTTAAACACTATAGGTAATTTAAATAAAAGTATCTTTGATTTGTCTCCAACAGAAAAAAATGTATAACGAAGCCCTGTATAACAAAATCAGTGTGTAATTCTTTTATATGATTATAAAAATCAATAGTGAAAATCATATTTTAGCGTAATTTGACAAATATTTCATAAATCACAATTTATAAACTGAAAAAAAAAAAGGATTAAAGTCTGACTAAATATTAAAAAGAAAAATTAATTATAATCTTTAGTCAGATACTTATTAACTCGAAATTAGTCATTTTTCACCTTTTATTTTTTGAAAACTACTTACACAATTAGCAAACAACTAGGTGTATTAGAAGGATTTCTCAAATCCCACAGNGCAACGTTTTTGACAACAGAAAATGTAATCAACTACTTTAAGTATTGTTTGACAATGCCATGAAAACAGGATGCATATTACTAGCACAAAAAGCTTTTTATAACTACAACATCAAAGGAATTTAAGCTTATATAAAAATTATAATTTGCTATTGTTTTAATAAAAATTTAGATGAATTTAAAATTTTTTTAAAACTATGTACAGTAGGCAAAATAAAATAATAATAAAAAAAAACTCTCCAACAACTTTTGATCCAATGATTTAATTTTTATGTACTAACATGCGATTTGAATGACTTGAGTATTCAATTTTTATGCTAATTAATTTGTGCAAATGAAGTATTTTAAGTACCAAAATCAACCACAAACACACACTTTTCTGAATAAACATATTTTTTTCGATAGATATGGATTATTTTTGAATTTAAAATGGTGGTAGCTGCAATCTGAAAAAGATTGTACTAATAATTTAGTTAGAGCCCTTAATATTAATATATTTTTTTTTTGTATATTTCATCATATCTCTGGAACTGTTTAGGTCAGGAATGGACAAACTTTTTTGGTCGAGGGCTAAAAATCTAAAAAAAAGTTTGGTGGGCAGTGTAGAAACTTCTAAAATAATAATTTAAAAAAAAAAAAATGATTTACAAGTTTTAAATTAAATATTTAATGAGATGAATGAAATTGCGATTTCATTTTTTAAAAGTTTTTTATATTGAGGTACGAAGTGAGATGTGCTTATTTTATGGAACGAGGCTAAATGCTTGGCTGTTAGTCTACTTCTGAAAGGATTTTTTCTAAGGTTCATAGTTGAAAACACTTGTTCACATATATTAGATAAAGCAAACATAGCATTGATTTTCTGGGCATGAGATATTAAATTTTGGAAACTAGCTTTTGGTAATGACTTGTAAACTTCAAACTTTTACATATTTAGAAACAACTGCTTTAGATGATTGTTAAATTACAACTCAATTAATTCAAGCAGCAAATCCGACCTCAGAAATGGAGTTAGTGCACTTATTTGGTAAATTAAGGCATAAACTCATCTCTGTTATGAATTTAAAAATCATTCCATTATTTGATTTTGAAAAACTCCAAGTGATATTTTTTCCCCCAGTCATACACATGCAATACCAAATAATAAAATTTAAAAATCTAATTCTTAAAACAGATTCTTTAACAAGCTCTTTTACAGAAATGAATTATAATTTAAGTGATATTAATTTTATAAAATATTCCAACTATAATTTAAACAAAGATCACTACCACCGCTTCCATACTCTGTTTGGAGTATTAATCAATGAAAAAGCTGTGGCCAAATAAACAAAGCTTATGGTCACTAACTATATGTATTAGATAACTTTTACTGTACTTTAATTCCATTATCAATTATAAGAAAATTGAGTATCAATAGAGTATCATTAAATCAATCTATAAGCAGGTAAAGTTATCACTCATAGAACCTTAAATTTTAAACTGTATAAAGAGGTTTTATAAATTGTATCATGAATTCAAAATTATAAAACAGTACCAATTTCCTTGATATTTTGTTTGGTATTGATGTTAAAAATGCACAATCTTCCATCTTCTCCGACGCTTGCAAGGTTGTCTCCTTTAACAGATATGCCAGTAGTAGAGGCGGTCCCGCCACCAAATGAATGAGCATTTTCCCAAGTGTGCAGGGTCTCAAGCTGCTATTTAAAAATAAATACATAAAATAAATATTTATGCATAAATACATACATGTTAAAACCCTAGGAATGACAGTTTATATAGATGTGCTTGGTAGAAACCAAGCCATATTACGACTAAAATGTAAAATTAAATCTTTGCTGAATATTTCATGGGTAACATTTTTACAAAACATTAAAATAATCAGACAAAATCAACAGCCAGAATTAATAATAATGAAATTTCTTTCAAGTTTTCATAAATTTTATAAGTAGTTACATAGAGAGAATTGAAAGGAGCTACAGAAATCTAAGTAGTTGGCACCCTTTCAACTCTAAAGAGAAATTTTTGATTTTTTTAAACAAGAAATAAAAACAACTTACATCATCAGATAGCTTAAATGCACAGATGGATCCTCTCGAAGATGATGCAAAGATGAAATCTTCAGAAAAAACCTTAATATTTTTGAAAAATGCACATATTTAAATGATATATAAAATAAATCAATGCATAAAGAAATTTATAAGGAATACATACATTAAAAGAGAATACAAATACATTTTAAACATGTAATTATAACGATTGTTCAAAAGCTCAACTTTGAGCTGTAACATAAGTTCAGAAAAATATTTCCAAAATATAAATAAAGCAATA